ACATGTAGCAGCTGGGCATGCCAAACATGAAAGTGTTCCAGTATCCTCATAGAGAAAGGTGCCAGTGTCAATGCAGAAGATAAGAATGGAGTCACGCCACTCCTTAATGTAGCAGCTAGGCATGCCAAACATGAAAGTGTTGAGTATCTCATTGAGAAAGGTGCCAATGTTAATAAGAGAGGAGGATGGTCGCGCATCACACCACCGCAAAGCAACAGTTCAACATCACGAATCATGAAAGTGTTCAAGTATCTCATTCAGAAGGTTACTTGTGTTAATGCAATAGATAAGAAGGAGTCACACCACTTTGATGCCAGCAGCTGAGCATGCCGAACATGAAACTCTTCAGTATCTCGTGCGAGAAAAGGTGCCAATGTTAATGTGAAAGATAAGAATGGAGTTACACACCACTTCATGTAGCGCAGCTGAGCATGGAAAACATGAAACTGTTTTAGTATCTCATAAAAGAAAGGTGCCAGTGTTAATGTAAAGATAATAAGTTGAGTCACAGCACTCCGGTACGGAGCATCTCCGTGCCAAAACATGAGAAGTGATCCGATATCTAATGGAGGAAAGTCTTGAGATGTTAATTCAGAAGATAAGAAAGGAGTCACACCACTTCATGTAAGCAACTGGAGCATGCCAAACATAAAACTGTTCCAAGTATCTCATTAGAGAAGGTGCCAGTGTTAATGTGAAAGATGAGAATGGAGTCACACCACTTCATTGGGCAGTTGAGCATCGCCAAACATAAAACTTCCTTTGATTATCTCATAGAGAAAGGTGCCAATGTTAATGCAGAAGGTAAGAATGGAGTTACAACGCGAAAATGTAGCAACCCAGAGCATGCCAAACATAAAACTGTTGAGTATCTCATTGAGAAAGGTGCCAGTGTTAATGTGAAAGATGAGAATGGAGTCACACCACTTCATTGGGCAGTTGAGCATGCCAAACATAAAACTGTTGAGTATCTCATAGAGAAAGGTGCCAATGTTAATGCAGAAGGTATTAAGAATGGAGTTACAACGCTTAATGTAGCACCTTTAGGCATGCCAAACATAAAACTGTTGAGTATCTCATTGAGAAAGGTGCCAGTGTTAATGTGAAAGATGAGAATGGAGTCCACACCACTTCATTGGGCAGTTGAGCATACCAAACATAAAACTGTTGAGTATCTCATAGAGAAAGGTGCCAATGTTAATGCAGAAGGTAAGAATGGAGTTACAACACTTCATGTAGCAACTGAGCATGCCAAACATAAAACTGTTGAGTATCTCATTGAGAAAGGTGACAGTGTTAATGTGAAAGATGAGAATGGAGTCACACCACTTCATTGGGCAGTTGAGCATGCCAAACATGGAACTGTTGAGTATCTCATTCAGAAAGGTGCCATTGTTAATGACAGAGGATGGTTTGGCATCACACCACTTCATATTGCTGATTTAGCATGCCAAACATGAAAGTGTTCAGTATCTCATCTGGTGAAAGGTGCCAGTGTTAATGACAGAGGATGGTTTGGCATCACACCACTTCATGTAGAAGTTCAGCATTCCAAACATGAAAGTGTTCAGTATCTCATAGAGAAAGGTGCCAGTGTAATGCAGAAGACTTCTATGGAGTCACACCACTTCATGTAGCAGCTGAACATGCCAAACAAGAAACTGTTCAGTATCTCATAGAGAAAGGTGCCAATGTTAATGCAATAGATAAGAATGGAGTCACACCACTTCATGTAGCAGCTGAGCATGCCAAGCATGAAACTGTTCAGTATGTCATGGAGAAAGGTGCCAGTGTTAATGCAGAAGATAAGAATGGAGACACACCACTTAATGTAGCAGCTGAGCATGCCAATCATGAAAGAGTTCAGTATTGTCTCATGGAGAAGGTGCCAGTGTTAATGTGAAAGATAAGAAGGGAGTCACACCACTTGATGTAGCAGCTGAGCATGCCAAACATGAAACTGTTGAGTATCTCATAGAGAAAGGTGCCAGTGTTAATGAGAGAGGATGGTCACGCATCACACCACTTCAAGCAGCAGTTCAGCATGCCAATCATGAAACTGTTCAGTATCTCATAGAGAAAGGTGCGAATGTTAATGCAAAAGATCAGAATGGAGTCACACCACTTGATGTAGCAACTGAGCATGCCAAACATGAAAGTGTTCAGTATCTCATTGAGAAAGGTGCCAGTGTTAATGAGAGAGGATGGTCACTCATCACACCACTTCAAGCAGCAGTTCAGCATGCCAAACATCAATCAATCTTTATTTCATACTGAAAGGCCACAGGCCTGTAGTACATTGTTTAATCATGTGGCGGGTAGTAGAGCATTCTTTCGGAGAATAAAAGCTTTATGGATATATATGGACAATCTTTCTATATGTGTTTTACTGGAATTATTCATCAATGATATAAACTTATGCATTTCAGGATGTACATAATAATATTTCTTTATATATCTATTTCTTAACGATAAGTATGCTGGGCAAACACATAAAAAGTGAAACTCATCTTCGACCTCGTGTAAGTTGCACATTTGGCAGATTCTGCTTTCTTTCTCAATAGCTTGGTATCTCCCAGTTTCAACATATAAATCATGCGTAGAACAGCCGGAATCTAAGCCAATGAAGATTTATATTTCCTTATGGTCAAGACTGAAAGATAATGTTTCTGCATATATGGAATCTTTTATCATTTTGTAGTAAAAGCATTTATTAGATAATGAGAGACTAGTTAACCAATTTTGAAGGAATATATCTTTAAGTCTTTGTTTAACTAATACAGACAAACAGTGAGAATGAGATTCTCGGGAATTGTTCATGCCAGGCATTGCGAAGCGTAGATAGATGATAATAACTGTTTTATGTCTGTTTTTAATTACGTTTCCCATGGCTATCATATAGTATCATCATTTCATAACATTTTCTTGGCAATCTGTGTGAGGGCATTGTTAATAATTTCAACCAATTCTAAATGGTACATTTGATTCTATGTACAATGGATATCTTCCACATTCTCCGTAGACCAAACAAGTTGGCGTGGCTGTTTTTTAAGAAATTTCTTGCATGCATACAAATTGACTTTTTTCTATGACATCAAAAAGTTTTAAAACCCCATACTTCTGCACCATATAGCAAAAGTGGGTATATTTTTGGTGATCCAAATATTTTGAAAAAAGACTTGTAAGACAAATTAAGCCTAAATTTAATATATATTTTTATTATACCTATTAATATTTTCTTTGCTTGTATAGCTGCCTGTGATGTGTGTACTGCCCATGAAAGATGATTGGTAAAATGCGCGCCTAAGTATTTATCTGAAGTGGTTGTTTCCAGTCTATTTCCCTTGAAGAACCATTTTTCATTATATGCTAAAAGCTTACCTCCATTTTTAAAAACAACTATCTTTGTTTTAGCCTGGTTTACAGTTAGTTTCCATTCATCACAATAATTCTCTAGTTCAATAATTTCTCATTGTAGGCGCTAATTGTGCTTGAAAAACAATATGATGTCATCGGCAAATAGTAACAGGAATATTTGCATTATATCTGGATGTAATTGGATACCGCTTTGAACAGTTTTCTTGGATTTGGGTTGCTAGTTCATTTATGAAAAATGTAAATAGAAAAGGGCTTAATATACAGCCTTGTCTGACTCCTAATTGGCTCGAAATGTATCTGATAATTCATTATTACTCCTTACACAAATTTTCACATTTGCATATATGCTCCGCAGTAATTTTCCCATTTTGCGACTGACACCATGCTTGTCTAACAGATTCCATAGTTTGTTCCTGTTTATTGAATCATGCTTGGAAAAATCTACAAATAAAACATAGATTTTTTGTCCCTTTTGATTAAGATATTTCTGAATAATAGAATGTAAAACAAATATGTTATCACTAGTAGTGTATCCCTTCCTAAAGCCAGCTTGTGATTCTGTTATCTTGTCTAGAGTATATCTGCCCATTTAACTAACCTCTTATTTATGGTAGATGTAAATATTTTGCTAAATATGCTTAATAACGTTATGCCCCTATAATTTTCCCAGGATTGTTTACGCCTCCGCTCTTATGTATAGGAACTATTATGCCAGTGGACCAGGATTTTTTGGAAGTATCCCTTTTCCAAGATGATATTAAATATCAGTTCTAAGAGTGGCAATAGTAAATCTGTAGAGTGTTTAAAAAATTCAGAGATGGTAGAGTCTATACCAGAAGATTTTATTAGCTTTTAAGTTTGTGATACTACTATGATATTTCCTTCTTAGTAATTGGTGAGTCAAGAATATCTTCTGACGGGCTTGGACTAAAATCAGAACAATCAGAATTGTTCACTTCTGTGTCAGACTGGTCATGTAATGCACTGTCATTATCCGAAAGGGAGAACAGGTCACTGAAATAATTGTACCAATCTTCAATTTGTATATTATTTCGCGAATACGCTTAGTCCGTTTATTTGTTTCAGCATAGACCAGAATGTTTTTGAATCATTTATACAATTCTCTAATGTTTGTTGTTTTTACCTTAAAATATTCATTTAGCTTTTGTCTACAAAGTGCATGGTATGCATTCCTACTGCTGTGATATTTTTCTAAAGTGTCATGCGCTCTTCGATTTCCTAAATTTGTTTAAATATCTACATCTTTCTTTTTAAGTTTCCTGCATTCAGTATCGTGCCATGGATTTTCATATTGTCTACTGGTGTGATTTATTTTTCATAATAAGCTAGTAGCTATGCAAAGAGCTTCAGTTATCAAATTAACACTTCTATCGATATCAGTAAATGCTGAATCCAGAGACTCACTAAGTAGTCCTTGTACATTGTCTGAAAGAATATTTTTGTCTAAAGTGGTCTAATTTATCCTGTTCCCAAATACATCTAAAGGATTTCTTTTCATTGTATTGGGGGTACCCATATGAGTGAAGCGCACGTAAACACAAAGTAAGAGGTAGATGGTCAGATTCTTAAAGGGACGGGATTGAAAAGTCACGAACACTGTCAAACAGTGATGACGACGCTATAGCATAGTCTACTAAACTCGTGCCATTAGCACCAATATAAGTAGAATCACCTACTTCAGCATCCGATCCACATCGACCATTCATTATGTGGATATTTAATACAGAGCACAAATTGAGAAGGCACTTCCCAAAATTATTTACAATTTTATCAGTAGAAAATCTCTTAATGTTAAAATAGTCTATAAGAAAATCCCACATTGAGCTTTCTCCACCTTCTGTGTATTCAATAATGTCATCTTCAACAAAGTCTAGGTCTGTACCTGTCACTACAAAAATAAGTTGGTTTCCGGAACACTGAAACTGAGAGGAAACGGCATGGAAACCACCATTTCCAGTTGGTTTCCATGTAGTTTCCTAAAGTTTCAGTGTGGTTTCCATGAAAACTGAAACTGAATTTTCCACCATTTCCGGATGGTTTCCAGTGCGTTTCATTACCCACTCCTCCAAGCAGGATCCAGCTGGTTTCCATGTTTTAATTTACTGTAGGTTTCAACCTGGTTTCCATGTTTTAGTTTATTGTAGGTTTCAACCTGGTTTTCCATTTTTCGTTTACTGTAGGTTTCAACCTGGTTTCCATTTTTAGTTTATTGTAGGTTTCAACCTGGTTTCCATTTTTTCGCTTATTGTAGGTTTCAACCTGGTTTCCATTTTTTAGTTTATTGTAGGTTTCAACCTGGTTTCCATTTTTTCGTTTATTGTAGGTTTCAACCTGGTTTCCATGGTTTTGTTTATTGTTGGTTTCAACCTAGTTTCCAGGTCATAACTTTCATAATACTTTACCCACTCATCCATTTAAGCTCCTGCTGCTTTCCATGTGTTTAGCATATTGTTGTTTCAAACCTGGTTTCCATGAAACTGAATGCTAGCTATTTACCTGCTCCCCCAGGTGTTTCATGTATCAGATAGCAAATCAGATATTTTATACAATTGAATAATGGTAAAACCTTTAAGATGACAAATAACAGAATAGAACACAAATGAATGAAAAGTTAATTAACAGTCAACAAATCTCAGCTATGCCCCCATACATTAATAAAGCACTAAAAATATGTATTTTTTTAAAAACTCTTTGATTGTGAACATGGTTAATTAATTATGTATCTAGCTACATGTACATAACATCAGGGACATAAGAGTAAGTGAGTATAGTTTTACTCCGCTTTTAACAATATTCAAGCAACATCACAGCATGGGACATCAGAAATGCGTCTCAGGAATCAAAATCAGCAGTGTTGTTCAGCTGGTCTTCTTCTGCTTAACTTTTCACTGCCCAACTGGGCATGTCCAGTGGCAGATCAGCGTGATGGACTTCTGTGGGATGTCTTCCCCCACATCTTCGTATTTTTTCGGCCTGACACCATGGGTGATGTCAGCTCTTTCCTCAAGAGAGGAAGAACTTTCTCCTTCTTCTTCTCCGACCAGTCTATGGTTGCAATGGCCTTCAGTCTGCTTTCCAGTTTCTGAAAATTAGAAAACGATAAACAATCAGTACAAACAAGCATTCGTCAACAATATCCGTAGCTAGAAAAAAGAAAAACACCCAATATTGCTGTAGGAAAACTAAATTGAAACTACTGTTCTATAAGCAAGTAGTAATAAGAAATCTAACTAATCACCGGAAATGACCTGTAAAGGGGCAAAGATTTCAATCACAGTACAACTTAATGAAATTTGAAAGAGTACAGACACAAGTGAGAGAAGGACATATTTCCTTAGCTTGGGTTGGACATTTCATGACTGATTCTCTTTCAATAAATTATAAATGTGACTTATGGGAAACTGACATTGAATCATAATATATCTTATGAATGCTCACTAAATTTATGAAATACTGGTCACTGTCGTTGCTTACTTATCTGCAAAATGTTCCTGTGAAAGCCATCTTATCTTCTGAATGTTGCATAAATCATGCTTAGATATTATGCGTATAGAACTATGAATTACCCATTATTGTGTCAAAGGAAACATATTTTCTTACACAGTTGTTTTTGGTCTGAACATTTCACCTTGAACACATCAATTAACAATTACTTATTAACACCACCACACTTGTTAGTAGCTG